AAGCACTACTTGTTGATAATTCCTGACATTCAGAACAGATGAAAGATTGAATAGGGGTTAATTGTGTTTCTGTTAGAGATTTCTTGAGACGGTACCAGCTAGACGGTACATTTGGAACATTGAATATTCGTAAAAGAGAAATAATATCATCCATACAACGTGCAGAAAGACGGTGACGTTTCTTCAGAAGCACTAGTGCGCAAGAAATATCTTTCTCCATGATGATGTTTGGTTCGTCACATGATAATTGTTTTATTTTATCTCTATATATGAATAAAAAAAATTTAATCGAGAAACAATGAAGTATATGTCATACATAGCATCGTTCAAAAATCTTGATTCGCTAACGTTGACATTGGAAATAATAGGATCATCAATCGTATTATTAATATTGATCGAGTTAATATCAATAATATCATCAATTTCTGGATCTATATTGACTTCATCAACATTGTGTTGATAAAGTGCCTGACCTATATAATTTTTTTTTATTTTCATTATTTATTCATGAACAAGATTTACCAATTTGAATAGCTTGATTTTGAAGTCGTTGCTGTTTCCAGCGCTTCATACGATTTTTTCTTACTCTATACATGTCTACAGCAGCAAATAAAAAGAAGAAGAATTATATATAAAGCAGTCCATTGGACATTTATTAAGTAAAAAGTACGTTTCACGCATATAAAAAAGAAATATCAGTGACTTATAGTCTACGTTCTTTTTCAAATAAAGAACATAGTATCCTTTGCACTTGGACTCAAATCAAATTAAAAATTAAAATAATAAATCGTCTTTTAGTTTTAGTCTTATCATCACTCTCTATTCAGTATTAGAAAGCTTCAAATTTTGTTTGTGCGTTTTAACTGCAAATAAATTTCCCATCGCATGATTAAGATCACCATCAGTGTACAGTTTCTCTTCACGAGGATGAGCTAAACGTGCATATTCTAAATAAATAAATAAAACTAACATCTATACTAAAATAACGAAAGATAATTATTATTTTTCACCTCGAACGGCAGCAACATGATTACGATCAACTTCAGCAAATTTGAAGTCATTTGGTGGATCAGGGTGTAACATTTTCATAATTTGACGAACAGTTATTCTGATGTTTTTTCCTTTACAGGTTTCTAATTGTTTTTCGGTCAAGTCGAGTGTTGTTGTGATATTTAATAGAATTTCACTTTTTTCATCAGGATCTAAATTTGCTTCTCCACTTAGAATTTTCCCAATATCAATTAAATAATCTATTGTCGTTTGATCAGTCGGACGAGCTAAAAATAGAACACTTTATTGTATTGTAAGAAGCACATATAAACTTATTAAATACTAGATATCTGTTAACAAAGTGAATTCTTTTGTAGTATTTCCTCTGATTACTCTCCACAATATAGACATGAGATCATTGAAAATCACGTAGAACTGTTAGTAACTTTCCCAAGTAAGTCAGAATTCATAACTTTATTAGAAAAAGAGTTGATCTTTTAAAGGCAAGCTTTGTTTAATAGTTTTCTCATTCTACAGATAGACGTTAAAAATGTTAACTGTTAAACGATTTTTCAGCTTCTTTCTATTAAATTTTTGTCGTAAGTTTGGAAGTGTAATTCTATCATTTCAACTCAATTATATAAATACTTGTCAGTCGAATCATGAACACGATAAGTTTTACTCACGCATCCAAGTCGTTTGATATTCCAATGCTTGAGATTCAAGTGAATCAATCTTTCGTTGAAGCGCACCATGCACACTAGTCTGCTCACTTTTCCGTCCAAATTTCGACTACACTTTGAGAATGGCTTATCATCACTATCGGATAAAAGCTTTCGCTTTTGACTGCTAGCAGTCGATTCTGCACCTTCTAAAAACAGATAGACGAACATTATTGCATAAGTTTCAAGAAATACTTAATCATGATGGCTGATTGAGATCGATTAGAACAGTTCGACAGAACAACAGGTTTTAATGGTGCCGCTTCATCAATATGAAGCGCATTACTTTCATCGCCAGAAGAAACTTCTTCAGCATCGATTGATTTTATATCTTCATCTGATTCACCGTCATCATTCGCTTCAACATTATTCATATCATCAGTTTCACTCTCAGCTTCGTCAATAGTCTTTGCTTTATTCTTATTCGTTTTATTTTTCACAGTAGTTGTTTTTTCAATAATACGACGAGAATTTTCGCATTGACTTTCAGCACCTAGATAAAAAAGAAACTATTCTATCATTAATCTCAAGAATTAATAAATCCCACCTATCATAAGAACAATACCACGAATACGGCCACCTCGTTGACCAAAGCTAACTTCATCACCAGGTTCGAGCTTCTGAATTTTTTTTGATGAAATTACTTTACTTCTAATTATAACATGGTGCACATTCGTGGCAATATCACGAAGAAGAATATAAACCTCAAAAAATTTTCTTTTTCATTTGCTTTCTTCGTATTTACAGGTGCCGTTGTCTTC